GTTTCATCCACTTCGCATCGAATTCGCATACCAAGAAGTACCAATAAAAACTTACAAACTCCACATGTCTAATGTCGTCATAAGACATGTGTTTAACCTTTCAACCTAAATACCTAATCAATGATGAATGTATAAAATAATAACACGATAATTAAATTCAATTCTATCTCAATATTCAACCTTTAAAACCAATCAATGATGAATGTAAGCAAAATAATGGGATAGTTATATAAAACTATAAGTCTGTTGTGATTAATATTCGTTTTAGATAACTTATAAATCCTTCTTACGATTTTTGTTATTATTATGTTAGGTGAGATGGCGTGACAACGTGGTTTTGTAGTAAATTTTAGTTCAATACTTCTTTTTTATGTTGTAACTTGTGAAGACTATTGTGTTTTAAGTATACGTTTTGAGTTTTGAAAGTTACTAATTGAATGAATGAATTAATAAGATAAGTAGTTAATAAAATGGTTGTAGAAGATAAGATTTTTGATGTGTTTATGTTATCTAAACTAAAATTGTACCAATAACATCATTACTTGTTATATTGTTTGTCAAATTTCATTTGTTTAAAAAAAGGGAGATAAAATAATTTTTTAATATTTATAATGATATAAATTTAAACATGAAATTTAATTTCCTATTTGTAATAATAACATTTTTGCACATTTTATAAAGAGAAATCTTCGATAAAGTCTCAATATTTTGATTAGTTTACGGTTTAATTGTAATATTAATTTTTAAACAAAAAAGTCTTGATTATTTAATTTTATACGATAATTTATCATTTTATGTGAAAAAAATACACACATTTTCGTTAATTTAGACAAAATATAAAATAATTGAGATTATTTTGTTTAAAAAATAAAAATTGAGATTAAACTATAAAATAACTTAAAATGTTGAGATTTTATTAAAGATTTCCTTTTATATATAAAAAAATATGATCAATTCTCTCTTAAAATATTTGTGTTGAACTTTCAATCTATAGGTATGATGTTATGTATATACAGAGGATGTCAATGGACACCTTTTGATTTGAAAATGAACCGAATAGATGGAATCCTTTTTTTTTTCTTAGATGGAATCCTTTTTTTTTTTTAGATGGACATCTTTGTTTTAGGCTTTTTAGCAAAAATATATGTGATACAATTCCCAAATTCCCATCTTTGCGTACTTTTTACTGTAAATAAAATATTAGAACTAAACAACACATAAGGTTTCTAGTTTTTCCGTATTAGGACATTAAAGTTTTTTTTTTTTTTTGTGCGTATTAGAACAATATGGTTGTTATTACCGTTTAGAAATAATCATTTTTACCGGTAAAATGGACTATTTCTAAACGGTAATAACAACCATATTGGTCTAATACGCACAAAAAAAACCTTAGTGACCTAATACGGAAAAATTGGAAACCTTATTAACATCCTAAGTCATTAACCATAATATTAAAGACATTGAAAATATATGATCATCAACAGTAAACTACTTCGTTTAGAACTCGCGTTGTCCCATATAACATGCTACTCCTCTATATGGCGAATCTCTTCATCTATAGTCGTCCCTTTGGGACATCCAATAAAATTGGAACGATACAGAGAAGATTAGCATGGCCCCTGCGCAAGGATGACACACACAAATCGAGAAATGGTCAAAAAAAAATTTAACCCTTCGTCGTCTTCTCTGGAACCCTAATTCCTTTTTCAAATGCTAATAGAGTTCAATTGCAATTCTTACGTTTCAGTAGTTCTACTGAAGTCATGATCAGACAACATGTGGATTTTATGATCAGATTGATCTTCTTGTTGATGTCTTCAACCATTTGGGTAAGTAAGGGTGATCTTTCTTTCTATAAAGTCTCCTTTTAGTTTTTTACTTTTCCTGTCATTAAGTTTCAGGCTTTATAAACTTCCGTTTATATGTTGTATATAGTTTATATGTGTTTGTTTATGTGCTGATTTTTTTATTCATTTTGCAACTTTAGTTTCTTAGTTCATGTTGTGGTTTTGTTTTATATAAAATAATTGATAATAGATATCCTCTACAAGTCCCTATTGGTTTTACATTTCCATTCGTTATCAAATGTAGATATTGATGAGAGGTATCAAAGTGAGATTGTTTTTGTACGTATGGATGTGTTCATGTAAACATTTAAATGACAAAAAAGAAGTTATTGATAAAATGTTGCATATTTATGTAATGAAGATCGTCAATCATATGAATTTTTGGATTTAGAAGTTCTGGAAGGGTTGTGAGATAAGTTTAAATGGAAGCAACTATTTTCAGTCAAACAAATCAATCACATTGATTAGTAAGCATGTTTTCTAAATAATTAGGGTAAAAATGACTATTTTTAAACGGTAATAACAACCATATTGGTCTAATACGCACAAAAAAAACCTTAGTGACTTAATACAGACAAACTGAAAACCTTATTACCCTCCTAAGTCATTAACCCCTAATTTTTATATCAAACATTTTGAAATTTTGAAAAGATATAAAAATCGCATCTAAAACTTTGAGAAGACACAAAAGAGTTTAAAATTCAAAAAATTCAAAGTCTTCCAATCCAAATAAACCAACAAAAAACCTAATAAACCTTCAAATATCAACAATTTTAAGGTTTTAATCACACCAACCATAAAAAGATACATCTTTGATAATGGTATACACACAGTTGATATTAGGCTGGAGGGAGTGGTGCCATCGAAACCGCACTCCCTCCCCCGCCACATCAACGCCATGTCACTTTTTACCACTCAAGTGTGGTTTCTTGCCACACCAAGGGTGTGGTGCCACACTTTTCATTTCTTTTATTTTTTTGTTTTTTTTAAGTATTTTAATTTAATATAACTTTTTTTTAACTAATTTAATTTAATATACCTTCTATTTTAATAAAAAAAACATAATTCTTCATTACTTGAAAATAAAAAAAAAAGTACATTGCGTTACCAAAAAAAAAAAAAACACACACACATGACATTTAAATAACCCTAGAAACTTAAAAAACATAAATAAAATAACTAAAGGAAACTACATAAAATCGTTCTCTGAGAACTCATCTTCGGGGTCATCCGGTGGATCCAAATTAAGGTTAATGTTTTGAACCCCGTAAATGTGTTCCACCAAGTCATTGCGAAGATTGTGAAATGTTTCAGTGCAACGTATCTCTGCTCTCTTGTTTATATACTCTTCGCCACCAATTTCTATTGGTTGTGTCTCGGGTATGATTTCTTCCTCGTCAAACGCACATATCGCTCTTCCTTCGTCTTCAATAACCATGTTATGCAATATAATACATGTATACATGATTTCTTGAAGTTTTTCCTCGCCCAAATAAGCTACTGGTTTTTTCAATATGAACCACCGTTTCTTCAGAGCTCCAAAAGCACGCTCAACATCCTTCCTAGCTTTTTCTTGAGCTCTCTTGAATTTCTGTCGTCTAGAACCATGTGGAGCTGAAAACGACTTAACAAACACAACATACTCAGGATAGATTCCATCGACCAGATAATAACCATACTTATATGGCGTTCCACGCACTTGAAAAGAAGAATCTGGTGCGGATCCATCGTATATGTTGTTAAATATTGGTGAACGGTTAAGAACGTTGATGTCGTTAATCGAACCAGGAGAACCAAAAAAAGCATGTCAAATCCACATATCTTGTGATGCAACTGCTTCAAGTATCACCGTTGGGTGACCATGATCACCTCGGGTAAATTGGCCATGATATGCTGTAGGGAAATTTTCCCATGCCCAATGGAGACAATCTAAGCTTCCTAGCATTCCAGGAAACCCGTGCACACTATCATGATGAGCTTGCAATTGCAAGATGTCATTACGTGTAGGTTAACGTAAATATTTTGGACCATAAAACTGAATGACAGTTTTGCAGAAAAAATGGAGACTGTCTCGTGCTATCCTAGCAGACATCCTAAAACTTTCGTCTAACGCATCAGGCGGAATGTCATATGCTAACTGACGAAGTGTAGCCGTGCATTTTTGTAACGGAGGGAAACCGGGTGTACCTCTAGCATTGTAGCGTTGTTGGAAAAAACTGCACTCCCTCGTTACATCTTCAACTATACGTTCGAATAAACCTTTGAGTATTCTGAAGCGCCTACGAAAATAATACCCTTGGTAAGTGGTATTATCTGCAAAATAGTATTGCACCAAACGTTGGTTGGCTTCTTTACGATTTCTGTAAATGTATCTTTGTGTTCTCTATTGAGAACTTGCAGCTGCGTTGTTACATACAACGTTGTATGTTTGTTCCGCCATTTGAACACACGCAATAGCGGTATCAAAAATAGTCTGAAATTCTTCAGAAGATAAAGAAGATGACATTTTTTGGAGAGTGGTGATTTTTAAAAAAAAATTTTTTTTTTTTTTGAGAGAGAAGATTGTGTTGTGATTTGTGAAAAAAAATTAAGTTTGATACGGATGTATATATAGGAAGGAAAGAAAAAACAAAAGGAAATAAATAAAAACAAATAAATAAACGAAATTGCATTCAACGGTCATAAATTTGACCAACCAAACACGTTTCGCGGTCTTCAAAGGCCGACCGCGGGTCTCAACTGCAGGAAACCGCACCCTGGGGGCGGTGTTCCCTACTGAGTTGGCAGTCAAGTACGGCTCCAAACTGCACCACACCGTGCAGCCTTATTAACAATCTGATAAAAATTTCTACCTATTAATTTTGTCAGATTAATTAATTCCGACATCTGTAAGTTTGAATCTTAGATTCAATGAAATCGTACATGTTGTATCTTTATGAAATCAGTAACATATAACTTCACATGATTCATCGAAACTTGCTAACTTTTTTTAACTCTGCACAGTTGAAGTTATAGTAAACAATAAGCCTGTCGATTCAAACCAAAGGCGGGTTTCAATTCCAAAATTTTGACTGATTAAAAGCAACTATTGTAACCTAATCGAATAAATCAATAAGAAACCAAAACGAAAATAGCTTAGAAGAATCATTACAATTACACTGATGAAGTTGCTTCTGTTCCGACGCCCAATTTCATCTCCTCCGCCACAAGCAACCCCCGCTGGATCAGATCCGTTCTCATCACATTAGCCGTGTGCTCCAACAGATCAATATCCGATTCCAGACCCGCCCATTCGATTTCAAGTTGTTTCATGGACTCCGCATCTCCTCCCAATCGCTTTGCTTCCAACAGCTCTTGTTTCTTGCCGGCGAGCTCTGCTTTCCTTTCTCCGATCGTCGCCATGATTACCGGCAGCTTTGAGATGAATGATGATTGCCTGTGCTCCATTGGGTACGAATAAGGTCCAACGGTGGTTTAAGCCTTGATGGTAGTACTCTTTATAAAGAAGAGATTTCTTGAGGAAGAATACAGTAGGGATTGGAGCTGTGCTTACATTGCGATTTTCACCATCAAAACGTTTCCATAAAAAATTCATATATATTATATATTATATTCTGATATGTAAGTTTAAAGTTTCGTATAATCCTTATCTTTTATAAATCTTAAATATGTATAATCCTTATCTTTTATAAATCTTAAATATTATTAAAAGAGAAACTTTATAACATCATCTTAAATAATTTGGATTGTATTTCAATCTTATTTTTTCTACCCTTAGATCAAATTGCTGACATCATCTTCCATATATGGAATCTATTTAATTTCAATAAATACTTTCCAATCATCAATCAATAACTTACATTCGTTGAAATGCAATGTATTTAATTCCAATAAAAACTTTCCATATTTTACATCTTGAATTTTCAGTTATGAAGATTTTAATATGATTAATTTTAAAAATATATTACTAACAAATCATTTCAATCAAGTCCTTAATATCAATCATTAATATAAATCCGTTTATATTAGTAAACCAGTAATATAAAATCTTTTTTTATTAGGAAATCATTAATACCGAAAAATCATATTCAAATTATCACATACATATACGATTTATCATCGAATCCGCGACTCACATTTATTTTCAATCGTTTCTTTTCTTCAAACATTCTCCTACAACATCATTAATATTGCTTATAACTTCCATCATCATTCTCTGCTATCGACATTCGCTCTTGTGCGCTAGAAGGTCAGTACCTTCTTTCGTTTTTTATATTTTTTTCAATCATTTTTTGTTCCTATATCAAATGTATGTATTCATATATTTCAATTTTCTTTGTCACAAATTACATGAAATTAGTTAACTATTTTTCTGATACTTTTCAAATAAACATGAAAATGTATTAGGTACCTTTAACAAAACAAAAATTAACTATCCTGAGAATTGACATTAATTACGAAAATGTTACTTTTATATATTAGAGATGATTATGATTTTTTTTTTAAAATTTTTATATCATAAGAATCCAGTTAATTTTGACATTATTTTAAAATATCATTGAAATTATTATGTTTTTATATATCATATCAACCTACTTTTTTTTTTTTTTTTTTTTATCTTCGTATAATAACAATAAAATTTATTAATTTACACAACAAATATAGATATTTCAAATTTTGTAATCTTATTATACCTTACAAAATACAACTCCTTCCAAAATAAATTTTCATCAGTAATTTCATCCATAATTTCAACAAATTTAAATTTGTACTTTCTTTATATAATTTTTTTTAATGATCCTGATTTTTTTTCTCCAAAAGTATATCAAACATTTACGTTTTAGATAATACTGCCCTATTATAATTATTATTTTCCAAAAGTATATCCATTTAATGAGGAATTTGATATAATAAAGGAAGTGAATGTTAATTAAAATGAGATATATATTCCATAATTATTACATGAGTTTATTAAAAAAATTAATATCAAGGTGTAAACATTATACATTTTTAAAGTGAAATTTCAGAATACATACAAACGATAATGTTGTACAATGAAATATAAAATTGAATAGACTGAAAAAAAAACACTATTAAATCAGTCAATCTTGAAAATAACATAGTTATGAAAAATTATAAAGTATAATTAAAATTATAAGATATTAGGAGATTTGTAAAAAGTACATTTAGTAAAAACGTTACGGTTATTAGAAAAAATAAGACCGTTAAGATTAGTAAAAATACAATATATAAACTAAATTATCACAATAGTAATGAAATGTCATTATTTGATATTTCATATAATTGACAGATATATCAAATTAAATTGATATACTAAAATTATTCAAAGTTGCGCTAAAACTAATGCAAAATTTTTACGAACACTAAATAAATAAGAACAACCATAAAAGCTAGCATTTATATTTATAATCAATTTAAAATAAACCAATCATAATTTAGAAAAGAATCTCCATTGATGATATACTAAAATTAAATCTATATAACATTTAACATTTTATAAATTATATTATATAACTTTATTTGAATAAATAAAATAGTTGTTAATATTTAATGCAATAGAAAAAACGGTATATTAATTGTCAATATATGTTTAAATTAGATAACATTATTATGCAATGAACGTCTAATTAAAATGCTTATAAATATATAAATATCATAGCTATATAAGACGAGGAAAATCGTTCAACTAATAAAACAAAAAATGATGTCTACAAAGAGATCTTTCAATAATTATATATATTTATCGTTTTTAATGTATTTTATACATATTTCAATAATACCAAATAACCATATATTTTTTTTATAATCATTATACAATATTTATAAACGATTATATGTTTTTTTTATACGTTTTCCGCGTTTAACGCGAGCTATAATCTACTTATAATCAAACAAAATTTATAAATTTTAAATAATAAACATGGTCCCACAGGCTATTACCTTTTATGGATCTATGCACGTTGTTTCTTAATAAATTTAACAGTTAAATTAGTTGACGATCTATTCGGTAAATAGTTAGGCTAGTTAAATTTAAATTCATATTTTAAAGAACTTGTTAAAATTCTAAAGTCCAAAGCCAACAAATATTGTTCAATACAACAACTAAATACACTTGATGACTCAACATGGATAACTATGTGCAAGTTACATAGAAACAAAGAAACACAAAAAACGGTATTGAATATTCACGGGTTTAGCTCAATAAAAAATATTTTTAACTCATTGAGTTAAAGAACCAATCTTGACTCTTAAGAATATTTTTTGAGATTTGAGAGGAATCTTTTAAAAACTATGAATTAATTATTTGTAATATATGTATTTATATTTGTATACTTGTACTATAAAATAGAACTAAAGTATTAGCATATGTAAAAAGATAATTAAGAAAAAAAATCATTTATTGAGAAGGAAATAACGTGTGGAACAATGTTTACCGCATAAAATTTATTTGTTTTTTTTTTTAGATATAGATTCTTAATTTTAAAAATAATATATTATGTAAAGTGAATTTATATGGAAATGTTAGATGGTGATAATTACGATGTAGGTATATGGAAGTCCAAGTGTCCAACTCCAAATCCCTATGTATTATTCTTCCCCAAGGAATCTCTTAATTTTAAATAGTAGTACCCATAAACCACCATTCGACCTCATTCATTACCCAATTCCAATGGAGCACATGCAGTCGTCGTCGTTCATCTCAAAGCTGCCGGTAATCATGGCGGCGATCGGAGAGAAGAAATCCGAGCTCTCCGGCAAGAAGCAAGAGCTGTTGGAAGCAAAACGTTTGGGAGTGGATGTGGAGTTGATGAAACAACTTGAAACTCAGTGGGGGGTTCTGGAATCAGACATTAATCTGTTGGAGCACACGGCTAATGTCATGAGAATGGATCTAATCCAACGAGGGTTGCTTGTGAATGGAAAAGTTTAGTTAGAGGAAGATCTTCCATGAAAATATGTTTTTTTTTTTTTTTTTTTCCCAGATACTTTGGTTTTCATTTTTCAATCAATCTATTCCGTATGATGTTATGCTGCATAGATTTTGGAATGAAACCCATTTAGTTTTTTTATCTTTTCTATCGTAATAATACTTAACAAATTTAGAAACTATAATCATCACATGAGCATTTAGAAATTATAGAGAAATCCAAGATCAAAAATATCAAACATGGAAAAAAGCCACTGTTAAATCCATATTTGTGATCGTGAATATGCTTTCCAGTTAACTTTACAGGGCTGTTAATATCACTGTAGCCGTACAAACATTGTTTTTGGTTTAAAAGCTTCATATACGGTTTTTTTTTTTTTTTTTTTTTTTTTTTTTTTTTTTTGGCATTGTAAGAAAATAAAGTCGCATGTGATACCTCAATGCTTTAGGGGTTGTAAAGTGAAATCATAAGCAAGAAAACAAAAGTATTTTTAACATGATAATGATTTAAAATGATAATATATTTTTTAATTTGTATATATTTAGTCATTGATTTTTTTTTCATACACATTTATCACCTTCAACTTGTTAAACTGTACACATTTAGTCCTTATGACCGGTTACTCCAGGTTAGCCGGTAAAAATGACTTAATAGGGTAATATATTTATCACTTTGTACACATTTAGTCCTTCAATTTTTTGTACACATTTAATCCTTAATATATATTTTTTCAAAATAAGTTATTTTTGTTTTTATACTCAGTCAGTACTTATGAATTTTTTATTTAGATTTTTCTCACGATAACTTACGTGAAATAGTCATATGGTGGTGGGATGGGTTGAAGGGGTCCTGCTATATGTTGTAGGCCAAGATGTCAGGTGCAGGCCAACTGTAAGTCGTAGGCACGGAGGCTCGAGAAGAGTGGTTAATTTAAGACGTCATCCCAACAAACCTTGAGTATTCCGGTCCGATAACAGATTGGACTGTTGCATGTTGTCATTCCAGTCCGATGATTGATTAGGCCAAGGTATTCCAATCTGATGATTGTGGGCCCGTTATACAAGATAATACTTTTTTTTTACGAGTATTTTGTAGAAAACTCACTAAACTTTATGCTTACCCAATTGTTTATGTTTTCAGGTTCTATCGTTGATCGTGAGAAAGTGAATGCATGACTGTACACACTCATCAACAGTATTGGGGATTCCATGATTCTTATATTACTCTGATTTTGGATAAATGTATTTTGGAATAAACGTTTTTTCTTAATAGTAGATTTATAATTAGGGACTTTTGCCTTATTTAAAAATGAAAATTTTTGGTTGTGAAATCAGACGTTACACATAAATATCAACAACTCCACACACTTCATCAATAATTGTTCCACGTAAGATGTCCTGAAAAAAAGCTAAAGAAATCATTCACAAGTATTGAATGAGTACAAAAACAAAAATGACTTATTTTAAAACAAAAAATATTAATGACTAAATGTTTACAAAAATATTAAGGACTAAACGTGTACAAAATGAGAAATATATTACCATATTAAGTTATTTTCGTGGCTAACATGGAGTAACCAGTTATAAGGACTGAATGTGTACAGTCTAATAAGTTGAAGGGGTAAATGTGGACGAAAAAAACTCAGTGATCAAATATGTACAATTCGAAAAATATATTACCATTTTAAGTCATTATCCATTTTTTAACTAACCAATTATAGTTTCACAAAATATTAAAATTTTTAATTTGTTTCCCAAATAATTATAATTTTGATTTAAAAGAGAAATTAAATAAAATAATGAGTCCTATCCCTACGTCTTTTTCCCTCGTAGTTTTTTTTTATCAAATGTTGTCATTTGTCAATATTATCATCGCGACCTCCGTCCTTCAGCCTTCAGCCATCCTTCTATAAATCCATTGCCCTTGTTGTTTCTCTCTAAGTATGTAAATATTCTCTCTCTCTCTCTCTCTCTCTCTCTCTCTCCCTCTCCCTCTCCCTCTCTCTCTCTCTCTCCATAAACTAATAAATCTATTAATTACCTTATTTCCTAAATCAATTCCATCATCCAACACATAAAGTTTGAACTCAAATCGATGTCCAAGGACGACAACTTTGGGCTAAGCCAAACTGGCAGCTTGAAATCATTGTTCCTTTCCTTAATATTAGCAAACCTGTCCCCCTTCACATCCTCCTTCTTACCAGAAAATCTCTCCGACGACCCTTTCAAGGTTGGTGGTATATTGATCACCGTCCATAAATTCCAGGAACCAGTGGACCACTATGGACCAGTACATCAATATCCCCCGCCACCAGTAAAAGTTTCTTGTAAACAATTAATACCTTGGCCTTTAGTTGTTTATTTTCTTGGCATTCGACCTTCTTAATCGATGCTGGAAGATATAAGTATGAACTCGTTGCTTGTATTCACCATTTTTGGATCTTCCAAGTTCAAGATCTTTATGGGGCAGTAATGTCGTCGATTAAGTCACCGTCGTTTCAATTACATCTGGAGTGTGTTTATCCACCAAGGTTGATTGTACGCAATCAAAGGCACGCTTGAGAAATATCAGTGAAATGAAAATCGGGTGGAAGGAGATAGAGAAATTTGGAATGCAAGTTGTGGAGAATGGCAATGGGAGTACCAATTAATTTCCTCCCCAAGTTGATTTGATGTTCTGTTAGGCACTTGAGGGATGGATTGCTAGTATTATGGGGTGAGGACGTTGAGGAATGTATATGAACGGAACTATTAGAGTTTTCCGGTGGTTAATGTGATGTGTATAGCACCTCCGACTTGAATGAAATTGAAGAAAGCTCCGATAGAAAAGAAGAAGAATGTGGAGAAATCGATTAAGACAGAACTAGAATTGGGGAATCTAATTCCGGGTAAGGAGAATTCATGTCTTGAAAATGGGCCTAGATTATTATTGAAGTTGAATTATGAAAAACTTTCGAATGTTTGGTTAGATAAAGGATCGTCATTGCCTGAGGAAATGTCCAAGTATGCTTGTTATGAGGTTGGAGAAATGGCTGCCAATGTAGAAACGAACCTTCACAAGGTCTGAATGCATGAATCTCATATGGTTTGGATAGAGAGGGAGAGAGAGAGAGATGTTGATTTTTTTTATTACTCAAAATGTAAAAATGACACATATCTGAATTTAACCAGTGAAACCTAGAAACATGAAATTTAATACCTAATTTAATCGGTCAATTCTAAGTTTAATGACTTATACTACAAAAAAAATGAAGGACCTTTTAAAACAAAAACCGAAAGTTAGTTGGACTACAGTGATATTAGCCCTATCAGAGTTACGTATAGATCTATACGGGTTGACACCACCACATGCGGTTGCTAACTACAACCTCGACATTCAAGTCAAGGGTGATAATTGTCTAAACACTACGACGCCCAATGAAGCGTGGTGACGGGAAATAACTCGTCACCAACTCAATTCTAGGAACTCATTATAACATTGATAACAAGCTAAAAACATATATATATATATATATATATATATATATATATATATATATATATATATATATATATATATAAGTTGAAACAATAATTATATATAGTAAAACGATTATTTTGGGTAAAAAGTATTCATATTTATGTTGGAGTAGGTGTTTAAACCCATAACTATAATTGTTATAAACTTCAATTGATAGTAGCACAGTTCTTTTGGGTTGCCATCAAACATGACAATTAAATAGGATAACTCTTAGAGAGAGAAAATGGTTTATTAATTTATTACTTGGTTAATAAATTAATTAGAAATCAAAATAAATAATTTACTAATATATTATGAAAATAATATATTAATTAGAAATCATATTGTTTAATTAATATTTAATCAGAAATTAATTTGGAATTAATTTTGGGATTAAAGAAATTAAATGAAACTGCAAGGACTAAACGTGAAAATATCCAATAATTAAGCATTGGGCATTCTAGAACCTCCCTAAAGGGGGGGGGGGGGGGGGAACAAATTCTAGGGTTTCCTTGGGCTCTAAGGGTGCCTTGGATACCATAGGGAGTAAGTTAACAGATTAATATACCTACCTTATCCAATACCTTCCTAACACCTATATAAACTCTACTAAAGGTTAAATTTCGGCTACCCTTGATCCTAAGTGCCTTTGGCAGAAAATTTGATCTACTCTTCTCTCTCTAAAGTATTCCTTGGTTGCTTGGGTTATTTGTGAACCATTAGAGGCGCGACACTTGTGGCGCTTGTTGCCCAAGGTCTTTCAAGCAAGAATGCAAGATTGTTTACATTTAGGGATGTCAACGAGGGCAAACGGGACGGGGAGTGCATCCCCCACCCCGCCCCTGAAATTTTCCCATTCCCCCGTCGCGCCCCCGCCTTCAAAATGTTCACCCTTCCTACCCCGCCCCACCCCCCGATGCTTATCACAAATTTTCTTGCCTAACTTGACTTACAAGATTAATATTTGGTAATTATCTTTTATTTATTTTGTCATAATCTGATTTTTGGTAATACTATATAATTAAATATGTCCTAAATGTTAGGAGATAATTATGAATTGGATAATGTTGATTTTATTTGATTATAATTATCCTTATGGATATGGTTAATAATTTAATTAATTGATTAATTAAAGTATAATTAATGTATCCATAATTGGCTACTAGATAATTATTAATGGAATCAAATAATTAGTATATTGGGTTGTTTGAAATTTAAAATTTAAAATTAAAAGGTTTAATTTTGGAAATTTAAAATGAGAAACCCTAAAATATATCCTTATGGATTTTATAAATCCATATGTGGTTTATATTTAATTAAATTAAAAGTTTAATTTATTTAAAGATTAAACCCTTAGTATTTTAAAAATGTTTAAAATACATCCTATACTATATGTAAGATTAAAAGTTTAATATTTACTATGTGTATAAGACGAGTCAATCGAATCGCTAGTACACCTCATTCATGACGTCATACTATAAGGGGAGTTTAAGGAAGTGACATG